ACGACAAAATCTTACGCTTATGCATCAAGTGCCTTTAATTATTTTTAATAAAACAAGGCGCCTATGGAAAATATTATTTTTTATGAATAGTCATACTAAAAACCAAAAAAGTAATTTGAAAAAAAATAAAATTAAAGTATACGTTGAAATCCGGTAAAACAGATTCAGTTAGTCTATTTAAAAAGTACCATGCAACTCGTTTATACACGTTTCTAGACACTTGTTTTTATTAAACACTCTCTCGAAAGCTTCTTCATGTCCAAAATTGCACAACTTAATACACTGAAAGAACAGTTTATTTACAGTTAATTATGCTGTAACAATAAATAAAGGATTTATTCGATAATGGCGCATAAATATTTATTTAAAAAAAAAATAATTTATTGGTATTACTTTAATACACTTTTTTTTTGGTAAATAAAAATTTATTTATTATAAATAAATACTTTATCTGTGAGAAATTAAGTTATTTATAAGTAGTTTATTTATAATTCACAAATTTTATTATTAATAGTCAATAATTAGCATATAACTGTATTTTTAATAAATATGTATATACCTATTTGCAATAAATATGGCATATCCTTATCAATCTCACAAAGGGACGTATTTTTTTATAATTTTACAAAAGAGGATATTAAAACTTACCTACTGCAGGTTAAAAATATACTAAAATAAACTTATAAAATTATTATGGTTTATATCTGTAATTTTATATGTTAATCGAAGTATATTGTAAAACCGAATATTGCAGTATACTGCAATATTATAAATTATAATTTTCAAAATGAAAAAATGGTATTGTGAGATTGACGACGATATGCTAAATTTATTGTAAATATATACATATTTATTACAAATACAGTTCTGTCTTAATTATATATAAATTATATTATTATTTATCAAGTTTCATAAACGCCAGTTTAGTTACGAGTTTTATTAGGCACGAGCGAAGCTTGCGAGCGAGTGTTTAATAAAAACGAGTGCCTAGAGAAGTTTATAAAACGAGTTGCATACTATACTTTATCTACGACGAACACAAAGAAGTTTAAAGTCATATCTATTATTTGTTAAACATTTGACATCTGTCAACAGTTACTGTTAACGGATTTAACCTCACTTTTCCCCAATTTATAATAAAGCTAACTTCAGCCTAAAATACCCAAAAGCCACTATTGCTAACTTCGGCCCGTGACTAAAACGCCATAAAGTCACAGCTCGTCAATGTAGGAGTAGATAATAGTATATTATGGATCAAGTTTCATAAACGCCATTTTATACACGAATTTAATTTAGGCACGAGCGAGCTTGCGAGCGAGTGCTTAAATTAATGAGTGTATAGAAAAGTTTATAAACGAGGTGCATACTATACTTTTTCTACGACGAATACTTATTATTATCTTAAAATGATTTAAATCAAAAATTTGTATAGAGCGCCATCTATGAAACAATAGGGGAATCTGTGTGTCACCGTCAAATGTCACATTTTTACATTTTATAAACACAGATTATAAAGGTCATAAATCGAAATGTATTTATTGAAAATTGAGTTTTTCACAGTGAAAGAAAAGAAAATGTTTTATAAGGACTTTACAGTGGAGTCCGTGCCCGAATTTAAGTTATAGTTTACTTCCGACGAAATTAAAAGGTCAGTACAATGTTCATATAAACTTTTCAAATATTGGCGTTGAGAAACTATTTAATACTTTTGTATTTTTGTATAGAGATAATAAAATAATGTTCACATTTAGTATTATTTTACAAGAAAGGCACTTTATTTTCACGATTGTATGACATTTCACAACTGTCAACTAACGGTATTTTCGGATTCAGGGGACAATTTCACGTAAGAATTGGCTGTTTAATTTTGGGATACCATGGTATTCCATGATTAACCATGGTACAAGTGAAAAAGCAGCCTCTAATAACTATTAAATTTTTGACTAATTCATTTTTAGAGAGTGGGAAAAAGTTACTAAAAATTAATAATATGGTATTGACTATATATCAAACACTGCTCTATTTTCATAATTTTGGACGGTATTTTTGGATTCAGGGGACAATTTTATATGAGAATTGTCTGTTAAATGTCAGGGATGCAAATTGCTGTGGACTACAGTTATTAGTGTCTGCTTTTTCACTTTGAAAACTAGTCATTTTTGACTAATTCATTTATAGAGAGTAAACTTTTGTTTTATGCATAGGATTTGATTTTACATAGGACATTTTATTTTTGTCCTTTAATTACCATTACCAAAAGGTATCGGGTTCAAAAGTAGTCGATTTGGCGTGGAATGGCCCATATATAGCTTGTAGAATAATGAAGATATCCCGGCGCATCCACCATATTTGAAATTCAATACAATATTATTTAATAAAATAAAATTTACCTTATTGAAGTTCAATGGTAAAACCATTAATTTAATTTAAATAACACCCATTGTATGAACTTCCGTTCCTCCACTTAACCTCAAAGTTTAAGGTTGCCGATGATCGAATAATAAATAAATAAATAAAAGATAAACAAACAAAAAACATAAATAATTTATAAAAAACAAGAGCCATAAAAAATGCGCATTAAATTTTAATTATTTCTCATAACTGTTACAATTTGAATTCCTAATTGATTTGATTAGATAACATTTGATCACGGTCAAGATTGGTCATAAAAAACGAATAATTTTACCTTGAAATAACCGGTTATGCTTAAACTGTATTAAATTTTAGATGGTAAATAAACTGATTAACTAATATTTGGATCTTTATATTTAACGGTGCATCTTTAAAACAAAATGAAACAATTTTATGAGGCGCCGTTTGTGTCAAAATTAATAGCGCAAAATAAACTTATTTTGCTTTATATATAATTAACTTATATGCATTATTTGCCAAATTATTTTTTTATTAAATTATTTCTTTATCACATTATTTTTTTATCATCTTATTTTTTTATCATCTTATTTTTTATGAAATTATTTTTATCAAATTATTTTTTTATCAACTTATTTTTATGAAATTATTTTGTATGGATGACCTTCTTTTCTTTTTGGATGGGAAATTTGTCGATTTGGCGTATTATCTACCTTACGCGCAAACTCAGTTCATAAGTGGGGGATTTAAAATATATGATACCATAGACGTATTAATATGTCCATATATGATACGAATTGTAAACTAAATTAAATTTAGGTTATATCAAATTTTATATTATTCATATTATGTAAAAGCCACTGAAAATCTAGTAAAAACAATGAAGTAAACAATGCCAAAACAATTGGTATACTACAGAAAACAATAAAATGATTAATTATTAAAACCATCTACATATTAATATGTCAATAATAAAAATCTTTTGATTATCGTGGTCAAAATACAACGTTGCCAAAATTTTGCTGTTATTAACATGCCATTATAAAATCCAAAATATCATCATTTTATTTGTTATTAAAGTAGGGGAATCAACCGGTGATTGCATTGAGGCGCATGCGTGGCTGCATTGTCGGTTTAAAAAATATCATATTTTGTCCCTATTTGTAAAGAATAATAAATACTTTTTAATAAATTGTATGAAAAAAAGCATTTAACACATAAATGATGATATTTTGGATTTTATAATGGCATGTTTATAACAGCAAGAATTTGGCAACGTTGTATTTTGACCAGGATAGTGAAAAGATTTTTATTATAGACATATTAATATGTAGATGGTTTTAATAATTAACCATTTTGTTTGTTTTCTGTAGTATACCAATTGTTTTGGAAATGGTTTTTTCATTGTCCTTACGAGATTTTCAGTGGCTTTTACATAATATGAATAATATAAAATTTGATATAACCTAAATTTAATTTAGTTTATAATTCGTATCATATATGGACATATTAATATGTCTATGGTATCATATATTTTAAATCCCCCACTTATGAACTGACTTTGCGCATAACGTAGATAATACGCCCAATCGACAAATTTCCCCTCAAAAAAGGTCATCCATACAAAATAATTTCATAAAAAAATAATTTGATAAAAAGATTTATAATTTGATAATAAATAATTTGATAAAAAAATAAGTTGATAAAAATAATTTCATAAAAAAATAATTTTATAAAAAAATTATTTCATAAAAAAATAATTTGATAAAGAAATAATTTGATAAAAAAATAATTTGGTAAATAATGCATATAATTAATTATTTATAAAGCAAAATAAGTTTATTTTGCACTTTCAATTTTGACACAAACGGCGCCTCATACATTTTAAAAGCAGTAGTCGAATTTTTTGACTTGGGATGTTAAAAATTTTGTTAGATGTTTGTGGATGTTTAGGTAGTAATTACACTAATTACAAGTTCAGATAACAAAATGCAACATTAAAATTTTGCTACCTACTCATGTTATAATAATTTATGATGCAATTTTTAAAAATACCACTGATAAGTTAATGTATTTCTATAATATTATGTACAAGTAATAAATTAATAAAATAATTTAGGTTTATAAATACATATTTAGGTACCTACTAAATTTTTTCGATGTTTTAGGACTACTTTTTAAACAAAAGGATAAAAAACTATTTTCAAATGACGTTTCAAAAACAAATTTTTTATTTAAAACGTCATTTGAAAATAGTTTTTTAACTTAAGTTTACAATGTTATATTTTAATTAAAAAAATTATGATGATTTAAAGTTTTGATTCGAAAAAAAATGGTTTTCGATGCTTCTTATTGTACTTAATTAATATGCTTTATTAAAAAATATTCATGTAGGTTTTATCCATTTAAAATTTCAAGTGCTTTGCGGCACGTGTTAATCGATTTCGCTGAAATGTTACACACATTTTTTTAAAGGTAAATACGATGAAAAAGTAATGTTAACGGTTATAATATCGAAAGTCCTAATAATTAATAATATAATTATAATAATAATAATAATAATAATAGCAAAACAAAAAATGGTCGTAAAATTTTTTAATTGAAGGGATATACAAAATTAATCGACTTACGTGTTGTCTCTTTTAATATTTTTGAAAGCACAGCGAAGCACTAGGAGTGGATGTCCCCGACAGTAAAATTAAAGTAACTGATTTTCAGCCTTAAGTCAATTTGCTCGTGGACCAGTCCCCACCAATGAGACATTACGTTCACGTGGTTTTACATCTTTGTAATGTGCCGTTTATATTTACTGACGATTAAGAGCAATAAAAAGACAGGGTACCGTTTTTAAAAATTTAGGTAACAAGACCAACATTTTTTTTTAATTGATTATTTGGAGATCTTTTTTTATTTTGACTGAATTTAGGTTATTTTGAGCTATAGCTACATATATATATTATGGCGAAATTTTAGCTCAAAAACGACCTACTTTTAATCATTAAAAAAAAATTTTTTTCATGGTTAAGTTTGAGATGTATAAGTAAATTTACAATAAAAAAATGTATTGTAAATTTACATTTAACTTAAGTTTTAATTTTGAAGTGTTTTAATTTGGGTTAATTTTATTATGACAATAAAATTTTAATAATTATAATTTCTATTAGTACAGATAACTACATATTTAATTTATCGGCGGGTTAAATTAATTCTAAAAAATAGAACACGTAATAACAATGGAAAATTTAAAAAATCCATTTATTTAACTTAAAATTGTTTTGTTTTAATTTCATAAAAATACGGCTATTATAGCTATTATAGCCTATAATAGCTACTATACTGTAGTTATTAATGACAATAATTGCTTTAGAGTAATGATTACAAATTATAAATTAATGCACTTGCTTTATGTTTTTATTCAGCATTTACTATAATAATAATTAATATTATAATAAATATACATAGGTACCCATTTATATTTCTTTTTCTACTCCTATTGCATATTATTGACATTATTTGGTGTTTTTTAGTTAATAATGCACTGAGAAAAAAGTTTATTGTTCCCAAATAAAATTTAAATATTTAAATATGGGACAAGGGCATGGGCGCCGCTACATAGGGGCAGGGGGGGGCCCGGGCCCCCCCCTGGAAATTCATACTCAGAAATTCCGGTACTCCATAATTTGACGGTAAGTGCTGATCGTTATCATTTGTTCATTATTTTTTAGATAAATTAGATTTGTTATCTTAGATAATTTAACTTAGATTTGTGCCGTCTTAATGAGCACTAGTGTTGTTACAGTTGTAAAATGAATGAAATGGCTGGCTGTTAAAAGAAATCAGAAGCACAGTTTACTGATTTCGTTCATAATCCCATGGCGAAGAAACCAGAAGCCACAGATCCCCGAACAACATTCGTGATATTCATACCAACATCATGTCGTGATTTTCACAAGTTTTATTCTTACTGATATCATACGGAAATCACCGCGTGATAAATGAAAATCATACGAATGTCACGTCGTGATTTCCACAAATTTTATTCATACGGACATCATCCGGATGTCACTGCGTGAGAAATGAAAATCATGTCGTGATTTTTACGCCATCGCTGTTTGCGATTGACCGATGGCCTAAAAAATCATGTCGTGATTTTTTATGCCAACGGTGTTTGGATAATCATTTTTGCGCCACGTTCGTACACTAAGAGAAGAATTATGTTGAATCTGCAGTTTTTCCGGTTAAAAACATTAAATATTTTCTTGGATTTAAATTAACTATATTATATAATATAGTTAATTTAAATCCAAGAAAATATTTAATGTTTTTAACTATAGTTAATTTAAATCCAATTATTATTATTATTATTATACTTTTTCTCTCAATGTACGAAATGTACGAAATTTTTATGCCATCGGAGTTTGGATATTCATTTTTGCGACACATTCGTACATTGAAAGAAAAAGTATGTTAACAATTGAATCAACAGTTTAACATTCAATATTTTCTTGGATTTAAATTAATTATATGTAGTTAATTTAAATCCAAGAAAATATTAAATGTATTTAACCGCAAAAACTGTTGATTCAACATAATTTTTCTCTTAGTGTACGAACGTGGCGCAAAAATGATTATCCAAACACCGTTGGCATAAAAAATCACGACATGATTTTCATTTCTCACGCAGTGACATCCGGATGATGTCCGTATGAACAAAATTTGTGAAAATCACGTCGTGACGTTCGTATGATTTTCATTTATTATGCGGTGACTTCCGTATGATATCAGTGTGAATAAAATTTGTGAAAATCACGACGTGATGTTCGTATGAATATCACGAATGTTGTCCGGGTAGGTTTTAAATTCGCAGTTCGCAGGTCTAATACGCATGCGCAAATTTTTGCAAATATCACACCGTGAGTTCTACATGATATCACTGTGATGAAGCATGTGTATGCACTCAGGATATCACAGCGTGATAATAAAAAAATCACGTTGTGATATCATCATGACTTCACCAGGAAATCCCGATTGTTTTCCGGGTCATTATGTTCATATTCCAAAGATCTTGGATGGAATCTTATATACGTGCAATAAGGTTCATATAAATTTTGATTTGGAATCCAAGGGGTTTTAGCTTAAAGAAAACTTAAAAAGTGAAATAATCCGGAAACTGTTCTTGAAAAATTAATGAAATAAATATTTAAAAAATAGAGGATTTATTTATGGATTTAGGATTTAAATCCTTTTTTGCAAGTGGATTTAGGATTTATGATTTAAATCCAGATAACGTAATGGATTTATGATTGAGGATTTAGATCCAGTTTATGGTGTGGATTTATGGATTTAGATTTAAATATAAATATACATATATTAAATGTAAATATACATATAAAAATGATATTTTATTTGACTTAAGTTTAATGTGAACTTCTACAGTGCAACTTGATTGTAAATAACATCTATCAAAATTGTAAAAAACTTTAAGGCCCCCCCCCTAGACGAATTCCTTCCGGCGCCCATGGACAAGGGTACAGTTTATTTATCCTAAATATATTTTTATTCCCGACACATAAAGTTTTACTAAAGTATATTTATCGTTATTATTTCGACTATTTAGAGGTAATAAACAATATATTTACTATTAATAAAAGTATTAGCTACACAGTTTATTTGTCCCATTTTTTTCTCAGTGTGGTAACAAATATAACCGCCCGGCCTAACAACTCATTATTCACGTTGCTAGGCATCAGTGATTGGTTGATTTCAATATTCACTGTTATTTGAACCATTTGGGTTTTAAATTGGGAAAATTTAACAGATGTTTATATATACCCACTGAGCAAAAAAACGTAAAATATATGTAAAATTAACGTCAAAGGTTGTAATGTGACGTATAAGAATCTTGTAAAATAAACGTCACATAAACGTCGCTGTGATGTGCCTATGTCCGGATCCTGGGCCGTGAATTAGCCATAACCGTTACGTGGATAAGGAGACGTAAAAATTGCAAACAAATGATAAAGCCAACTTACCTAAACTGTTCAGTCTCGCCTATGGAGAAGAATGCGTTTTCTATCACACAGCAACAAATGGCAACACACTGTGTTGAACACAGAACAATGGCAGTCGCAACGCAAACAGAGTATGCCCTGTTACAGGGCCCCTTTTATACGAAATTACCCGAGTCCTTTTTTACGTAAATTTTACATAAAATATACGTTTCTTAATCTCACGATGCGATAATAATAGAATAATTATTATTCGGTAATATTAATTAATAAATAACTCTGGGATTTATAATGTCATTAAAATAATAATTGTACCTACTTACATTGTTTCTAAGTAAGTTAATATAAAATTATGAATTAAATTCGGTATTTAATTATCTAAGTACTTATACACTCAAATTTCCAACAAAAATGTAAATGTGGCATATATTTTAATGTTTATCATTGGCAAACCTACCCCATTCATATTTATCATGTGTCACATTGGTGACGTAAAATGTACGTTGTGTTTTGCACCTAATACGCTAAAGTAAAATAAAAGGCATAGAGTGGACGGTATAGTGACGTGTTCGACAGTACCGTTTATTTTTTAGCGTAATTTTTACGTAAATTGAACATCACTAAAAAACGTAGTTAATGCACATGTGCCTTAAAATTGACAATTTTTAAACGTCACTGTGACATCACCACATCCATAATGTTCAGTGGGTATACCTATACCTATAGGTACGTGGGGTGACTATAATTATCTTTAAAATCAGTAAAAAGTGAGGTTATAATAAATTTTGTTATTAATGAAAATTACTTAATTGTCTAATTCTCGTATAATAGGTATGATACTCCCATTGCATAATATTGTTATTTTTTCATGTTTAATTATAAACATTATAAATTATCTGCCCAACAACGGGAATAATGAACGCATTATTCACGTTTTAAGGCATCAGTGATTGGCCGATTGGAGGAAGGTGACTATAATAATTTTTAAAATTGGTAAAAAGTGAGGTTAACCATTTGACAGATGTCAGATTTTCTTTATTTATTTTTAAAAATCCACCTACTCATTGGAGTAGATTATGCGCATTATTTGCTCGGAAGATTTGAGTCTCTCGTCTGGCGACGCAAACCTTATCCTCCTGAATAATACTAAGTATACTATATACTATACTCTATGAATAATAGCCTGCATTTTCTCTCGTATAATAATATACCTACTATTATCGTTGAGTGAACATATTAATCAATGCTATTATGTAATTGTATTTTATTTTTATGTTATAACAATATAATTACATAAAATAAAAATGTTTGCTTATAATTCGTTTTATCTACTCCTGAATTGACGAGCTGTGACTTTAAAGTCACAGCTCGTCAATTCAGGAGTAGATAATAATATATTAATATATTATTATCTACTCCTGAATTGACGAGCTGTGACTTTAAAGTATATTATGTATCAAGTTTTATAAACGCCATTTTAGTTACGAGTTTAATTAAGCACGAGCGAAGCTTGCGAGCGAGTTTTTAATAAAAACGAGTGTCTAGAGAAGTTTATAAACGAGTTGCATACTATACTTTATCTACGACAAACACAAAACAGAATTTAAAGCCAATTTTATTTGTTAAAATTTTGACATCTGTCAACTGTCACCCGAATTTAACCTCACTTTTTCCCAATTTATAATAAAGCTAACTTC